TCAATCTGGACTTGAGGCCAAGGAGGCTACATTGGTTATTGAGACAGGTGTAACCGAGAAGGCAACAAGCAAGCCACACAGCAAGAAGAAAAAGAAACATGGTCAGAATACAGCGCCGGGGGAGCCACTGGCTGAAGTGGAGAATGGAGCAAAATCAAAGACTGCAAAAGGAAGAATCGAGCTGTTCGAATCTAAGTTGGGTGCCAAAGCTGGCAAAGCTCAAAAGGAAAGCGAACAGCCAGATGTAGCCGAAATAAAGTCCCAGCAGCAATCGGAGGCTAAAGCGTCAGAGGGAGAACAACCTCCACATCCCACAGACGATAAGGGCCACCAGCCAAAGAACTTTACAAGTCCTCTGAATGATGATGTGGTTAAAAGGCGACGTCTGTCAGAGGATAAGTTTGGGAAGATTGTGAGCATTTTGGAGTCTAAACTACCAAAGTCAGATGTGTCAGCAAAAGGAAAGGAAGCTGAGCTCAAGACTGATGTTGGAGGAACTCGTAAGAAGGCGTACAGTGAAGTGGTCAAACAGAGGATTCCACCCAAGGAAGGTACGGGAATTGATTAAACAGCTAGTCCTCTGCATGGAAACACATAGTTCACATGGCATTATTAAAGCCTATCATAATATCTGCAGAGCCCAAGGTGGTGAAGCCTATACAGGCAGTGCCCGTGAGTGGTGACCCCCAGAGTCTGTGCCTGTGGTGTCAGTTTGCTGCTGTAACCTCGGCCTACACTGTGACCTGGAGCAGAGAGGGTACTGTCCTGGCTGAGATGAAAAGAAGGTAATTCATATGACTTTTATGTCATTTTTAGCAATAATAATGTCCTACCGAGCTGGTTTAGCTTCCCTGCAGCTGCTTTGTATCTGCAAGCTGCTTTGCAACCCACAGGGCGTGTCTGTTTTCTTCTACTGAGTAACACTGTCCCTTTGTCTGAAGTGCAGGGGATGAGAGCAGAGTGACCCTGACCATCAGCAATGCTTCTCACAAAGATCTGGGCAAGTACCTCTGCCAGCTCAGCAGCTTATATGGCTCAGTCAGCTTGGACTACCTGCTCACATATGAAGGTAACAAAAAAAAATTTAGCTCATTTTTGAAAGTGAAAATGTTTAAAATGTTTACATGATGTATATAAATGAAAACTACATTTTTTATTTTCCCTGTTATTTCACAGTGCTCAGTGAGGTTGTCATCCCCCTGGCTCCAAAAACCATTTCATGTGAGTTAAGATTTAGGAGCATGTTACTTTATACAGCTGAGCTTTAAAAAGAAGACCCTAGATGTAATATTGTGTCTATATTTTTTTCCTCCCCAGCTGACCCTGTTGAGGTTAGCAGTGAAGAAGAGGACGCCCATTTCTCCAGACTCTTGTTCAAAGACGATTTCTTATCCGATCAATACTTTGGAGACAGCCATCCTATCAGTATGATCACCGAGAAGGAACACTTTGGGGAGGGCATGCATCGGCGGGCTTTCCGGACCAAGCTGCATGCGGGTCAGATACCCCTGTTACTGCCAGGTCACTCCTGTGTGCTCAAAGTGCACAATGCTATCAGCTATGGGACCAAGAACAATGACGAGCTTGTTCAGAAGAACTTCACCTTGGCTGTGGAGGTACGAATATCACAATTAGTGTGTAGTAATTCTTCATGGCTCAAGGAGTAATTATGAGATTATAGAAGACTGTAGGAAAACAGCCCTTAGCTCACTACGCCCTCGCTAACTCTCCTGATGATATCTAGCCTCTGTCACTAGTTTCAATTTTACTTTCAATTTACTTTTAATTTTTAATTTTACAAAGTAAAACATGAGGCTAATTTTGGAAATTACGGTCTCCATTAGAGTCAAAAAAGAGGACAAAGCAGATCATATTTTAAGGTAATTGCACCTCATTAGAGAGGGTGCATGGGGAGGGGTTGGTGGCTGTTGGAAAGATGACACTGCACCAAAAACCTCCTTGTGATTGCTTTGGTTGTTAGCATATTGGTGCAGTCACCTGTGGTTTGCATGGAAGACACTGACTTGTCTGCAAACACTTGCTAAGCTCTAGCCATGCAGTGGCAAACCTTGAGAAAGTACAACATGAACCAGAATCAAAGTAAACGTTGTGTCTCAGTGCTGCAGTTGGCATGTTTGCAGACATGTTAGCATCTTCCATGTTATCATGTTAGAACCGTAGCAATCAGCCAGCGATCGAATCAGTCAAAAGAAGGTTTCTGTCAACTGACTGGTGAACACATTTTCTCTCTAGCAGCTGTGGTTGTTAGGAGCTCACCGACTAATCTCTAAGCCTTTGTTACTGGGGCTATCAATCTGAGCAACCACTCACCAGCTGGTTGGAGCATACCTGTTTTTCCCTAATGACCCGCGGTTCCCCTATGCTTTTAGACCATTCTTAAGTGTGGCTGGGGCCTTAGTGATGTGACTCTACACTGTCACACGTCCACTATGGTGGCCAAGTTAGTTATCGTTAGATATCTGACTGCAAAACCTAATTTGGACTAATTGTGTCCAGTTTCAAAACAGTAAGGTAGTGACAGTGTTAAAGCTCAGGGTGAATCTTCATAACAGGAACTCAGTTACATTTTATACACAGTCTATATATGATTAGCTTTATGGTTGTTGCTATCATTTTTTTTTTTTTGGAGACTGAAGTGACTCTTGACTGTGAGGGAGACATGCTAGGTAGCACTAGCCCATTTAAATGTGCTGGTGTGTGGTCTAGCAGCTTAAAACAATTGTTTTAAGCTGCTAGACCACACTTGAGTTTCAATCACCAAACACTGCAAAACGGACCTCTTGGGCCAGCTTTAACTGCAGTTAAGCCCCAGTACACCACAGTATTTGACAGCTAATGGCGTATTTAGCACATACCTGTCACTCAAAGTGGCCATTCTCTCAATATTGTAAACTTTAAGCCTTAACGAAAGTTAAACAGCACACTTTTATAACATCTATAAGCCATAAAGGAAAGATCAAAAGTGCTCTTTTACCAGACTACAAAGGAAGTTTTACTTTTGTCTTCAACTACATGCATCATAATGATAGTATTCTTATTTTACAACTCCAAAGTGTCTGTAATAGACAGTATGCTGTTCTACAGAACATACTGCAATTTTTTTCTTTGTATGTGTGTTAAAAGTTGGATTAAAAGATAAAATTCTCACCAATTGATTCAGTTCACTTCATTCTGTTTCATTTTATTATTTTATTTATTTTTAATGGTCTGCAGGAATGCCAGGTCCAGAACACAGCAAGAGAGTACATCAAAGCTTACACTTCTGCTGCTCAGTCCACTGAAGCCTTCGGAGACATCCCAGAGTGAGTGACACGTTTGATAAGCTCGTTATAATTTCTTCACTACATTAATTCGCTTTTAACCGGATACACTTTTTTTGGGGCATTCACCAGGATAATTCCCATCTACCTGATTCACCGTCCGTCGAATGACATCCCCTACGCCACGCTGGAAGAGGAGCTAATCGGGAACTTTGTTAAATATTCAGTCAAGGATGGCAAAGAGATCAACCTGATGAGGCGTGATTCAGAGGCAGGACAGAAATGCTGTGCTTTCCAGCATTGGGTTTACCAAAAAACCGACGGCAACCTGCTGGTTACTGACATGCAAGGTCAGGGAAACAATTAAAATAAAAAATTTTAAAATATGTTTTTTGTGGGAACTATTTCTTTGCAGGTTAGAAATCTAAACACCTATGTGATTTGTTGCTTTTCAGGAGTTGGCATGAAGCTTACTGATGTGGGAATAGCCACCTGTAAGAAAGGGTGAGTATGTACATTTTTTTGTGACCAAAGATACTCTACGTGCAAACTGTGATTTTGAACTAACTGATCTCTTAATGTTATTTATTTTCTTTGTAGATACAAGGGATTCAAAGGAAACTGTGGCACCTCCTTCATAGACCAGTTTAAGGCCTTGCATCAGTGTAATGTGTACTGTGAGATGCTAGGTCTCAAATCCCTGCAGCCCAAAGCCAAAAAGCCAGCGTCTGCTCCAAAACCCAAACCCCAGAGCTCCACTCCACCCAAGAAGAAAACATTTGGGCCAGTAGTTAAGGGGAAGTCATAACAAGAGGAGAATACTGGACTAAGGATTTGATTATGAATTGAATCCGTTACCTTTTCTTTTTTTAGTGATTCACGTGATTCACTTTGGACTGAATACTGCAGTTTGGTGGACAGTTTCTATAAACTTTTTAAAGGTAACAAATGTAGCACAAGCTGGGGCTGACGAGACTGTTGATGAACTGATGAGCGAGCAACTATTTCTTCTTGTTTTTCTACTCCTGGGATATTTTCAAACTATTAGTTCATTAAATTAATGGACTTTTTATTGATTGATTAGAGGAAATGTCTTTAAGTTAGGTTGTATGAATGGGTGTGGGTTTGTTTTGTGCGTGTGTTCGCTTTGCAAACTGGCAAATAATTGATGAACATGTATCCAGTTTAATGTTACATTATATTTGTTCATGTGACTGATTTAGAATGACATCATGATCCTACTCTGGACACAAAACAAAGACATTTTTACCCATAAAGTTGATGTATCACTTGAATGTATGTAGAAGTGTGAGCCGTTGTGAGCATCTCTCAGCATTTCTAAGTTAGGCTTTGGTGTAAAAGTCCTCCAGCTACCCACATTCAGTGCATGTATAGGGAAAGGCACGTAGAGTGAACCCTATAATACCACATTCATCTGACATCGAGAGGCTTTACGACCCCAGGAATATTCCAGCTATTCAGCTGCAGTCTAAAACAGTCTTTATACATTATGCCTCTGATCACTCCTCACGTCTACCTTTCAGACCCTGACCCACATTGCTGGCATCGCACTCAGGTTGCAAATGTTTAATTTCTTTCACATATGCGTGGTAGGACAGGTGAAAGATGTTGAGTCAACATTACTAGAAGGAATACAAATTCCTGCGTATGTTTGTTCACCGCTTGGTCTTGAAGGCATCCGTGAAATGTGAACATCTGTCAGCAACAGATCAAAAGCACTTTATTTATGGTAAACAGAGACAAATGTGCAATAAGCTTTACATTTACAAAGCTGGCATCAGTAGTAGTAAACCAAGGTCTGTTTTAAGGTCTCCAGCAGCAAATTAGCACCTTGAATCCAAAAAGAAAGTGGGTCACACTCAGAGGCTCAGCATCAGATATGATGCATAAACACACCAAATGTCTATTTCCATCTCCTGCCCTGGTGTAATGTGCACAGAGTCATTGGCACAGCTGATATACAGTCTTGCTTTACAGTTTGTACAACAGATTTAATAAGAGGATTAAAATTTAGAAAAAAAAAACAGAAAAAAAAACCCCACACACCACAAACACAACAACACTTAAACCCAAAAGTGAAGGGGTACGTCGAGGGGCTTTTCACACTGTAGCTATTTAGTGTGATAATGGCGTTTGACGAAGAGGAAACAAACACCATTGTCACACTCCACAGCTCTGGAGGACAAGGTTTTCTGCAGACAGAGGCGCTGTTGGTGCAAAGTGATTGATGGGTGACCTGGTGAAACAGAGGGGGGAAAGAGCAAAATCAGGAAAGAAAAATCCAGATTAAGTGAATTGTGCAGTTTATACTTGGCCAAAAAACCAAACCCAAAACAGATGTTGAAGCCAAAAAAAAAAAAAAAGCCATAGTGTCATGTAAATATTCTAGGCTTATTCAGCATGTTCAAAGTCCAGTCTAGTCGCTCCCCCCCCACCTCCCCCCTCCAACTGATTGTAGGGATGACTGCAGCTGTGTGTGTGAAGGAGACAAAGAAAGACACCCATGTGAGACTCAATTACCAAGTTTGCCTTAACGTCTTTAAAATGAAGAAATTAAAGACTGGGTCAGGCTGTATGCCAAATGAGCTTGAATGAGTTTTCAGTCTACTTTTAATGTTAAACACATCTGAGCTGAATCGGTACAGGGGACGGTCCCGAGCTCTTTACAATTTAAACCGTTCAATCATTAAGCTTCAGACCTATTGGAGGGAAATGTCTACTCACCTTAATTTTCAAAAGGTCTTTCCAGATTCATTTATACTTAATAGTTGCACTTTTCCCTGCAGTTACTCTTCTACTCTCGGTCTTCCTGCTCATGCCAGTGTCGCTTTGTTAATGCCAGTTTTAAGTCCAGTAGAGCGTCCGCAGCTGCAGGTTGGTGAAGTGATCCGTGGTGCATTTGGGTTCAGGGCTGTCCCATCCAAGTCTTTATGTAGACAGAGTTTGGACAAACAGCCAGTTGCACATTAGTGATAAGCTACGGGGGAAGTATTGATCGACCCTGACCAGAGGTAGAAGGTGGAGGGGAGACTTTTTTTTTTTCTTTTTTTTTTAAATACAACTGTTCAGGGCCTTAATCAGGATTCACTGAAAGTCACTGTGAGCTCAGCAACAACAAACTTAAGACAGGTGCTGCTCCCAAACAGATAGCAGTTTGGTGGAAATGAAATTTCTTATTTTTGTTGGAGGTAGGAATCTAAAATACTCATAATGCCATGTGCCGTTTCACATGTTCTAAATTTTAAACACCAAAGTTCCTAAGAGTTTATTCATGATCAAAAACATCAGTTCTAGGGTCACAACTTAATCTGCAATAGCTGCCAGGTGAATGAACAGTTCATGGCTAAACCACACGAATCCCACAAGTTTCAAATGTCACAAGAGTTAGCAAAAAGTAACTTGCTGCAATAGTTGAGTTATAGATATGGCTGGTACTACGGCCAGAAATGTAGATTATATTGAAACGGATGCTTGAAGGTTTTGAAATATAAAACCTACATGTAATTAGATGTAATTCATACATTTTTTTTTTTACCAAACTGAGAATAACAGCGTGCATGAATTTGACAGGTAAACAAAGGCCTGTATGACACTGAAAACAGCTTTACATGAAGGGTCCAGTGTTTCACTCAGAAACAAGTGTTTAGCCTGAAATCAAATCTATTAAAAGTTTGTGTACCTACAAGAACAAAACAAACCTGTTTCAATAGCACCTGTGATTTTTATTTATTATTAAGTGAGTGAAAGCGTTTATAAGGAGGAGCTACAGGAGAAAAGTTGGCTTTTGGTTTGTTTGTGACCAGATTGAGGGTAGGAGGGCTTGATAAAATGTCCCCGGACTGGCAGGGTGGCTTTTATTTGCTCGTCCTTGAAGCTGATAACTCTTAGATTGCCTGTGTGAATGAACTGAGGTCCCTTTACCGCCCACGTGCACACACAGAGAAAGATGGTAGTAACTTTCAAATATTTGTCAATGCAGACAAATTTTCTGTAAAAAAAATTAAAAAAAAGCAGCAGCAGCAGCATAGATACCTGGAAATTGAATTTAAATAGTTAGAATTGGAGAATGTAGGTGGGGAAAAAGGTGCAGCAGCAGCGCTCCATCTGGGATTACAAAGATTTCTGAAAACTTGTGAGTGAAGTAAGTTGGCAGAAGTGTAGAACTAATACACTTTAAGAGACGGTCAGTCATTTTTGAGGAAGGTCAACAAATGAGTTAAAATACAATAGGGAATAAAAATATAGGTGCATTTTTATCCACCCAAATTTCTATGAACGATCAGTCAGTAATAAAGTTAGACAAAGTCTCTGAATACATGTTAAAAATACACTCACTCAACTTTCATTTTCAAGGGAGTCGTGCAGGTGTTATGGAGGACTTAAGTCATACGATGCCAACCTTTCATATTTATAAGAAGCATATGCACAACTACAGAAAGCAACCAAAAGTTTTTGGCTGACGATTTATCCTAACTTTACAGGATGCTCATGCACTTGAGCAGATTTCTCCAAAGGGGCTTTATTGAAACCGTAAACAGTGTCCGTTTCATGGCTCTTCCACCTCGTTTTTAAGGAATGATTAAACGACACAGTGTGTGAGAAGTCTGATTTTTATTTGACTGAAATTAAATGAACCACAAAGAGTTGCAGAAGTCAGCGAACTGTGAACAAAATGATATTAACCCTCATTTGTTTAAAAAAAACAAACAAACAACAAAAACAACAAAAGCAAAACTGTACTGAGTCAGTCTGAGTGTTGGGATCATAGACTGGAAGAAACAGAAGGGAGGGAAATGTAGAGAAAGGGGACAAAGGAAGAGATAAAAGAATATTAAAAGACGTGAAGGCTCAGCTTCATTTCTGTCAACTTTTTGGAGCAGCAGCCCAGATTTACAGACCACATATTGCACCAAGTGAGTGCTTTGAATAAGAGGAGGGGAGGGGGAAATCACATTCAAGTAAATGACAAGAGACATAACAGGCGACATGACCTCAGAGTGATCTATAAAGTGCCCTTTAGGTTCAATAGTGTTAGAAAAAGAGAAACAAGATAGAAAAAAAGAAAACACTTCTTTTCTTTGTAAGAAACGTGCTGCTTTATATTCAGTGGGGATCACAGCTTTTCTCTCAAACATCCACGCGCACACACGCACAGCTTCATTTTAGTGTTGATCAGTAATACTTCTGTTAAATGTAATACATACATAAATTCATATAATCATGAAAGAACTTAAAATTGTTTTTAAATCTCCCCTCAAGTACAATTTACAGCATTATGAACAGCAACAGGCATGAGAATATTAATGTAATCGTGACGTCTCAGAGAAACTACCCCCCCCTTAATTTTAAGTTTTCCCTCCCCAACTTCAAGATCAATTACACTTCCAAATTATTACGTAGCAAACACAAGATACAGTTTCATGCTGCTCTCAAAGCACTACAATAAAAACAGTTTCATTAAACACATTTGCTATCACTGTAACAAATGATATGGATTCATCATTTCCCAGACTAGCCAGACTTTCACTTCACACACCATGGCATATATAGTAAAGAACAATTGTTCATCAGTACAAATACACTGAGAGTACTTTCCTGGAAGAGTTATACCAAATGTTCAAAAGAAAACATGTTCCATGATGACAAAACGTTGCTTGTTTTTTGTTTTTTAAAGGAGAAAAAAAAATTCCCATCTCTGGGAACTCATCCCCCATCTTTGAATCATTATTAGTGCCTGAAAAAAAAAGAAAACATTATTCTACAAAAAGGCTGCATGGTGATCTCTGATCACACAGTGCAGACAAGGCTCTACGGAGGGGCGTGGCCAATTTCCTGAAATGTGATTGGCTAGCATTCCTAAGGTAATCTGGTGTTGGTCTAAGGATTTGAGAGAGTTGTGATCATAGTGCCGTTGCAGTTTCTTAGAGAAATAGTGCATGTAGAAGCCAGATTAAGGCCATGCGAAGCACCCCTCTGTAGAAGACGGTGCAAATACTGTGCTATAGTGTACATAAAGGAGCTATTGAAATGCATTGGTGTTTTCCAGCACTGTAGATTTTCACAGGACGAGGGTAGAGGGGGAAGAAACAGCGGATCAGGGGCCAGCTCCCGTCATTCATTGCTCATGCCTGTGGATAACAGAATTCAGCATTCGAAACAGTGCGACACTCCCTTCCTTTCCCCAGCACCTTAAAAGGAGGGACCTACCCAAACCGAAAAGATATAAAGACGTAGGCATATTGGCTCGACAAGTCGCTGTACAGTCTCGAACCACCGTGCAGTGGAGGTGGCTCGCAGTCAGGCATTACAGTACAACATGCTTGCACAGAACTGCTACAGCAGCTGGTTTGACATCCCCGTTTCATTTTGTCTTATCGTTGGCGGGTTGGATGCGGTTGGAGGGAGCCGTTCTAGTCGACTCCCTCGAAGCCCTGCGCGTTCTCGACGGCCATCAGGAGCTTCTCTCTCAGGTCTTCAAATGATTCATAGGTGGGTAGATCCAAGCGGTTAAAACTGGAAAAGAAAAACAGGTAAAACAAATAAGGTAACATTTTAAATAAATTAATTAATTACATTTTTTGGTTCTGTATGTGGCAATTTCATATCATCCACAGTGATCACTCAAGTCATTTTCATTTATATCGCACCAAATAGTTGCCTGGAGGCACTTTTTACTGTAAGTTAAAGATCTTACAGTAATTCAGAGAAAACCCAACCCCGTCTCATTATTAAAGTCCTACCCCACAGCTCACGATCATAGTTAAGGTTGAGAACGTAGATCGACCAGTACATCAACAGCTTCACTTCTTACCATGACAGACCAGTTCAATCTCCACATGACCATTGATGCACCACCAATCTGTCTGTCACATGAGATTATAGGAAGAACTGCAAATATGCAGTGAACCTCTGTACAAGACTTGTGTAAACCTTTCACATACAAAAGGGCTTCAAATACTATGGCAGTATATAAAACAGTGGCAATAGTGCTACACTGTAGTTGAGAAAAAAGCTCAAAAGTACGATTTAGCTCATACGTTCTCCTGCGTGGCTACAAAAAATAAAATAAAAAATACAAATTCAGTCCATGATGCTAAAGAGAAGAACACAGACCGCACACACTGAACACTGGACTGGACGACCGACAAACTCAAAACCAAGAATATTACTGCAGAGTTTAATTTGGTCAACAGGGGGCAAAAACATGAATGTCTTCACACTAGCTGGTACCATTCCCACATTTTAAAAAGATAACATGGTAAACAACCTTTAGCAGCTGCACACTTTTACCTTGCATGTGACAAAAACTCTGCCAAGCTGAGATTCCTGTCAGTTTAGCTTTAAGTGCCTGCTGGGACTGCCACTGAAAGTATATACGATTTTTTGCTAAGCACCACTGTGCAGTTTCACAGAGCTGCTAGCACAGCTGCAGACTCTCAGCTTTGTTGTTCTGTGAGTGTGTGTAGCAGTGACATACCATGTGTGAGCTCTTGGCAACTTATCTGGTGTTCCCCACTGCTCGATGGTGAACAGCTGAGGACCATTAGAACCTGGCACAACGGGAGAAACAATTATGATTCCACTCTTGATGCACACACGAGGACAAATTAAACCCTTTAAGACCTTGGCTGCAGGAAAGCCTTTGGATATTTACTGCATTTTACATAAACATGCGTTTTTTGTTTAAAATGGAAATACTGGGTCAAGTAAAGCTGTACAAATAAATCTAAAACAAAGGATTTCTTTTAAACAAATCAATGTGACTTTTTACAACTTAGAAAGAGATGTCAAGATTTGCTATGTATGGAATTACATTTACTCAATGTGGTAAATGGACCACGATTTGTTAGAAAAGGATTTTTGTGACCTTGTTGCATCTTGTTTTGGCCGAGTATATGCTAACACTGCTACACAAGTAGAAAACACCACACAAACACCAAACACGTACCATAAAGCTCAGCAAAACCATTCATGGGCACTCGTGATGTTCCAGTGACAAACTGGAGGAGTCGAATTCTTTTTTCAGCGTCCATCAGCAGGACAACCTGACGAGAGAGAAACGTTTCAATTTCCCAAAAGTCAACAAAATTTTTCAATCAAAAAATAAATAAATAACACTGTCTTTATTAATGCTTTCCCATCAACTCAACACAAAATTATATTTGAGGAAAGTTTCTGCATATAGTTTTCCAGTGGGGATGAAGTTTTAGATCTCTGGCATGAGGACATGGACGGTCTCACTTTGTGACCTTCAAAGAACTTCAAAGAACTGCTGGACTGCATTTTAGGGTTAACAGTTAGTTAACAACTAGTTTAATAACTAATTGGCAAGCGGTGAGGGTAGGTTTATGTCAACGAGTATTCTTACAAATATATGCAGATTATAAATGTACATCTGAACACATAAAAAAATTAAAGGAAAAAGTGATGACACAAAATGAAACTGAAGCGGTCGAAGCCCTTAATCAGATGACACGACACAGCAGTCTCTGTGGCTGGTGTGTGTTTGCTGTGTGAGTGTGTTAACGCTCAAGTCAAGACAAATGATAACGAGGGGCAGGTACCACTTTCATCAGAGCAAACAAGCCTGTTCTTCCAAATAGACTTTGATCTTCAAAAACGAGGCCAGCAACTTCCACTCGCAGGCCAGATGGAGGGAAACGTGCTTTTATGATGAAACGTCCAGAAACACGTAGACTAACAAAGTTTAAATGGTTCTGCTGCATCCAGTTATGAGTCTCGAACTGTGTAACTGAGTAATGAGCATACCTTCCAGAACCACTGTATGACGGGATGATTGGGACAGTAGCCATTCTTGTAAACGGTGTGTTGTCGCCAGTCGTTGACGTCAACGTCACCCAGACCACACATGAGCAGCTACAGAGAGACGGAGGCAAAAGAAAAAGACAGCATTTACACCCGGTGCCACATTTTACCATAAAATAAACCCTTAACAGAAATTTTAACGAATCTTTCAGCTATAGCCTTAAATAAGTGGTTTAATATACGTTTCCCCAGCAAGCAAGGTTACTTAAGACAGTCTAAAGATGACAAAGCAGCTTAAGAGTAGGATAAAATATTCTCACAGAAGTAGTATGTTGATTTAAAAAACAATTAATTTTACCCACTGGCTAATGAATTAAACTTTTCTTTCAGCTTTACTAGAAAGATATTCATACCTCCAGTTCGTTTTCATCAAAGATCTTGATCAGATCTATTTGAATGAGCTCAGTGAAGCCCTGAAAATTTAACAAAAAGAATTATGATAACAAGTAAGCAGGTTTAGAAGAATTTAATTTCAACTCTTAAACTAAGTAATGGTAAAATGAACTGGTCCTTATATGGCACTTTTCCACTTTTCTATACAACAACCATTCACACAAGCACTTTTCTATGCTTTGTTTATGTAAGTGCTTTCTAGCTAACATTCACACACATTCATACTTGGAGTTAGTATCTTGGCCAAGGATATTAGGCATGCAGACTGGAGCAGCCAGCGATCAAACCACCAACCTTTCGATTAGTAGATGACCTGCCTCTTGGGCTCTTAGCCACCCCAAAGGCTTAGGTAAACTAACTAAAAATCAGTGGCCACATTGCCCTCGAGTGGTAAGCATATGGCTGTACATAAATACCTCCAAGAAAGCGTTCATCTGCTTCTGGACCCGATTGACAAATCTCCACTGAATGACCAGACTGACGGAGGAAAAATTCATATATTATTGTAGATGAGCAGATGATTGCAATTTTGTTTATAAATATGAGTCAACGGATGACATGAAAATCAAAATACTTACTCTATGTATTCCTTCTTGTTGTCATTGGTGACCACCATGTCTGAGCCACTGGGCTTCAAGTCAACCTGGTAGGTCTGAAGGATAAAAAAAAAAAGAAGCTGAGTTTTCTTCTGATATGCAATAACATTAGTATACTGAAATTAAAATGAGGTTTTAACTGATTAAAAGTGACTGCTTCGATGCCTGCACACCTGCCCAAAATTGTCCTCATCAATGCAAAACCTCAAGTCCAGTTCAGTGGGATCATTCTCCAGAATCCACTTCAGAGAATTGTAGTACTCACTGTCCTATTAGACACAAAGAAAATTAAAGAATTCATTGGCCTTCACTTGTGAGAAAGGAGAGTTTGACTTCATCAATGTGAAACTGTTCCAAAGAAAGCTAAGCAAAAATATATGTATTTATTTTAGTAAAGCAAGTTCAAAGAATAAATATTTCACAGATCCAAAGTCACTGGCTCTGTAGTGCAAAAGAAACCTTACCACAGACTCCATGTCTTTAAGAGAGATCTGTTTTCCTAGCATCATCTTATAGAATGGTCGGATGAAAAAACCTGAAAAGAGGCACAAAAAACCCCAAAACATGATGATAATCATCAACATCACTTTTATTTTCTACATTCTACAACACGTTTAAAAACACAAGTGACAAAGTGCTTTAACCGAGCTAAAATTCTGTGCCAACTTTGCAATATCAAAGCAATCCTCTACAATCAAGTCGCCTACCATCCAGCAGCTTTCCATGAAACACGGCCATTCCAGCAACACGCCCGATGAACTTGAAATAGGAGAGGTGATCCTCATTGCATAGGCCAGAGTTGGGATTAATTTGGAGAGTGTAGTTGTCCCTGGAAAGACATGAGCACAGATTTAAAAAAGTATTCGATTAGACAGTAATATCGATATCATAAGAGTAGACGTTTAAAAGCATACACAGCACAAAGTAAGTAATTTAGGTAAGCAATGAAAAGAAAAAACAAAAAACACAAACAAATAGGAACAGTGGAGTGGAGACAGACATCTTTTAAGGCGATTTCAAAAAGTTTTATTAGCTTTTCATTGAACCACATCTATAGACTACTTTTTCCATTTAAAACTTTCAATTCTTTGCCCTTAAATGTCACCATTTATTTTCTTTGGGTACCTCATGTCAAAAATATGTGAGAACAAAGTCATTACATATTGATGACGGTACAACATAAGACACTTTGACCACCTTAATGCGTATTGTGTGTGGGAAACCCTTGTTCGACGTTGGCTTTTTGAATAAGAGGAAAAGCTAATCAAAGTAAAAGGAAACTTTCACAAGTCTCATGGGGATGACACGGCAGAACAGAAAGAATGGTTCCTTTACGACTAGCTTTGTGTAACACTATGTCCTGAGTGGTGTGTGAGATCCTGTTGAATTCTCAAGGGTTCAACGCCTTTCTTCAGTCTCAAAAGCAGCTCTTAAAGGAGGCGCACACAAACGAGCAGACACTTACGTGGCAGAGTATTCGAAAAGGCCGTAATAAGGATTGAACATCTCCTTAGATAAGAGGAAAAACCACTCTCTGGCCACACCGCCGTAGTCTAATCCTTTCTCCGATTCAAACTCGATCCATAGACGTGCCTTCAAAACATCTGGCCTCTTTAATGACATGATTCGACGGTAAGACTCTTCAAAGATGTTGTTCCTGTGTAGCTTCATCTCAAATCGATTAGGGATGTCAGCCTGAAATGGTTAAAAGTAAAAACTGTAACATGTGTTTTGTTGGAAATAATAATAATAGAAACAGCTAAAACAAGACAGTTTTTAGAAGAAAGTAATGTCAATGTGTCATTATGCAAGAGTAGCACAGACAGAAACTAGAGACACAGGATAGAAAGTCTTACCGGTTTCTTTAATTTCTTTCTGAAGTAGTCATATTTCTGCTTGAATTCTCTGGAGTAGGGAACCGCCTGCAAAGACAAACAAAACACAGAAGTCAAGAAACAGTCAAAAAATTATCAGTCTCCTCGTTGGGTTTCCTGATATAAATGTGTAAACACAAGCGCAACATGGTGGCGACCTTCCAGTGAGAGTGAAGTCTGAAGTGGTACACAGAAGGACACCAGGTTAGCATGTTACAAATGCAACAACTAAGTGATTTATCTCTGCTGTGCACAGACGGGCCGGGGCTGATGAGAGTGCACGGCAGATAGAACTGCTATGTTAAGAGAAAAAGCTGTCATTTGTATGTAGCGACTCCCTAAACAAGTGGGGCAGTAAGAGGAAACAACTCACGGGTCCTGTGATGGCTGGACTCTGTAGACGCGGGTCCTCCCACTGCGTGTTCTTTGTATCTGGATAAAATGAACACAACAGAACATAATTTCACTTCATTTCATTTGTATCTTTAAGAAATTATGTTCAGGGACACTGGGACGAAACAGATGTTTGAAACCAGTTTGAGTAAATAAGAAACAAAAATAATGGCAGAAAAGCAATATAATGTGAAAAAGAAGGTTTTCATAGGACTCCATGCTATCCTGTAAAAAACTTAGTACACCCTTACTGCTGCCACAGGAACAAACAGGTCAAAAGCTGCTGAGAGGATGATGAGAATGAGGATGATGATGTAGCCAGAGTCTGCAGCAATGAGAAGGTTGTTTGTGATCTTGATGAGAGAAGTCTCTGTGCTGTAGTGCGTTCTGAAGCCAAAGTGAAAGGGTTCACGGAGTTCATGAATAGGCGTGTTGCAGGGATAGACTATTCAAAGGATTTGATGATGATGTCAACAAAAGCTAAAGCCATGCCCTAACATATCTACAAGGTCTGATTTACTAACAGACTTGATGTGACTAGATGAAACGCAACAAAAGGATGGCATGGAGGTCAGAGTTGGTGAGGTGAAATACTTGACTGTCTTCAAGTCAGATCAGGTGAACACCAACAGCTAGTTTGGAACTTAGCCTTCATGAGAGAGCCAAATCGAGGGAAAAGTCTATTCCTGAGTAGTCTAAAACAGTTTGTGGGAAGTGATGTAAAGTATCCGGAGGAGTTAAACATCCCGGCATTAAAGAAGAGTGCAGTCTGACTGCTATCAGAGAGAATGTTATTAGTAAAAGTCCATTGTAACATAGCGATGATCATAAACTGGATCCAGCAAGAAAGTACAGTAGAAGGCAAGTACACAAAATGTAGTACAGCTGTTAAACTGTAACAGCACAAGGTAACCCAATGGGAAATACAGATTCCCAGAACTGCAGGTAGAGATATCAAAATGGAGATATTCTGCCATAATTCACAGGACCACATTTGCTAAAAATCAAACACACCATCTTAGCACAGCTTAAATTTACTTTGCAGTCATTCCCCAGCCATGAACTGTATTCAAGAGTCAAACATCAGGCCATCTGTCTGACAGCTAAGGCTTAATCAGGACAATAATCCCAAGCACAGCAGCAAATCTTTATAAAAAAGGGTGGGCCAAAATTCCTCCAGAACAATCCGAGAGACTGATAAGGTCATCCAGAAAATAGCTACCTCGTGTTTCTTGCTGCTAAATGTGGCTTTATGAGCAACCGAATAACAGGGTGTTACTTGGTTTTTCACATGACTACACACATAACCAAATGCAAGCATGGAAAAGGTATCTTACTGTGGTCGATGTAAAAGGTGCGTCCGTCTGTATGAACTCTTTCTTCCCATCCAGGCTGAAAAAGAAGAAGAGAGGAAGAATAAGAATCTACTAGAAAGCACCAATAAACAGGCCGTGCTCAAATAGCAATTTAAATCCATCCATTTATTTTTCCTTTTCTTCAAATTTATGTTTAATTGAACTTCAGTGACCATTAAATGGTCCAAACAATGACATCCCAGCACTGCAAGCAAGGTAAGCTCAATCAAACACCGACAAAGGAAATGAAAGGATTTTGTGCCTTATTTGAGTTCGGTCTGGCACATCAGCAAGGCAGGGATACGACCACAACATAAAGGTTAAATCACCACTATGAGTTCAAACCAGTATATCACGACTGACACGGTGACCACTCAGTACAGTGTCACAGGCCACACACACTCGTACGGCACCAGCAATCAAGCAAATAAAAACATTACAGTAGACTGAGTGTAAAGGGGTGGGGGGAAAGGCACAGTTCAATCTGTTGAACAAGGTGTAGCTACAAGACGTACGGTATATGTGTAAGTATGCTGCTGCTGCATGAGTGGAGACCAGGCTGAAAAAACTGAGAATACATGCAGCATACAGCCAATTCCTTCCTCTGATATATATGTATTTATATATATATATATATAGCTCCTTGTGTTTCCTTTGAAACCTCCCTCCCTCATTGTTTTACTCCCATTATGTACTCTAGTCTCACTCCTTCAGTCAGTCCAACTCCAACAAATGCCTGGGAAATCCATCTAGTGTTAACCGTTTCTCAGACATTGATACAGACTGAGAGATCCAAGGACAATGATGGGGAGCTCCAAATGTTAAACACTAACAGAAGGAGCGGCAGTGGTGCAAGGAGGCTGCACACAGAGAGAGGAAGTGGGGTAAAATACCAAGGAGGTAGAGCGACAATCCACCCATGCTGGTCATGAAAAAAGAAAAGATTGAAAGAAAGAAAGAGAGAAGAGGAGAAAAAAAAGAAAAAAGAAAACAGAAAGCTGTCTGCAGGCATTTGACCAGACTGGACTGGACCAGACAGGTAGGCAGGCAGAGGGAGGGAGGCACCAACCAACCTCCTCTGGTAGGTTCTGCCAAACAGACATGGCCAGGTGTAGAAGAAGCATACATTAGATCCATCAGAATGAAGAGAAAAGAGAAAGGGGGAGAGAGAACACATACACACATGCACACACACCACACAAGCCTGTGAGTTGTACAAACCCATAAAGCTTTTTTATTATTACTGTCATTAGTAATATTCTTATTATTAATACTACATCTAGCTACAGTAACATTTTGCCCACTTCCAGGGAAGGTTTCACCTCCTAATAAGGTTATTACAGTCCCCAGACCCTCTTGGCTAAGCTTCACACAAACAGCTTCTGTTCTTACAGGACTAAAAATGGAAATGTGTAATGGAGTCCGATCACATGAACACATGAAGTTTCATATTTTACTGTCAAAGTAATTTCTTTCATATTTTAATTTTAAACATAAACAGACCAATCACATGCCGATTACAACATGCACCATAACACAAAAAGCCAATTAATATGTTGGCTTGATTCTACTTTAGCTAAGACTACATGGTTGTACTGCTCCAGAAGAGCAGAGTTGTTACACACACATTAAAGACGGAGTACATATTGCTAATGATGAGTGCACAAAGGTATGTAGTCTTTGTGATTCATGAGGTTGTTTTTCATCTCCATTGCAGGCCAAAAGTTAAATATCTACTTAGTCTTATAGTAATTGTACTTACAGGAAGAGGGCCAAGGTCACCAGGCTCCATTGAGTTCTTATTCCTCATATGGACCGGATATTTCAACCTGGGATCCTCCTGATTGTCAGCAGTGAAAGACAGGAAAGTAAACAATTATACTGGAAAAAGCACAACAAACTCTAAACGTGCACTTTGTTCTCTATATTAAAGTTAAAAAAGCAGCTCTGTCAGTGTACATAAAATTGACCTTACCACCACCAGATGTCACTAAAAGACCAACACTAACTACTGCCCCACATTTTCTAATCACTAGATTAAAATCACAGAGTGTTTTTTCTTCATCCCTAAACAGCAATGTGCTAGCTCACCCAGGTGGTGGTCCTGCTGTTGTGGTCGATGAAGAAAGGCCGTCCGTTTGGAGCTATTCTCATCTCCCATCCTGGGGGCAGGAAGCTCTGCTGGGTCTTGTGTTGCGACTTTGGGGAGCTGTAAGGGGACGGCTGGGGAGACTGAGGGTTAGAAAGTGTGTCTTTCACAGCCCTCCGTACCTGAATGTTGTTGGCTCCCTGGGGGGGGGGGGGGGGGGGGGGGGGGGGGGGGGGAGTGATATGAAATAAATAAATAAATAAATGTCATGTAATGTTATCTCCCATTTCATGATAAAATAAGGATACATATCGAAACTTAAACGGACACTCCAAAAGTTGATTCTGTTCGGATTCTGTTTACTCCATCAACCTGTAAATGAAAATGTCACACACATCTGATTTATCACCCTTCCCAGATAATGCGTAAGACTTCTCTTGCTCTCTCTTGGTTACCTAGATACTGAAGAAGTACAAGAACAACTAACAAATGTTTACTTTAAATCCAGCAGAACTCATTAATCTAAATCTGGTAACAGAGCTTTCTGTCAAGGCTAAAAGGAAACCTAATTACAACATAATACCTGAAACTATTTATATACAGGAAAGTGAACATCTCTGGTAAAAGCTCCTTATGTCGTCCAGACTAAAAAGTGTCCCTGCATCAGATAATTTTTTTTTTTTTAATAGCAGTAATCATCACTGATTGACCTTTTTTTTTTTTTCTTCTTTCAAACAAGAGAGAAGAGTCCATTAATTAACCACATCCCCTGCAAGTTGTAATTACAACAATCTGCTGCGACTATTTCGCTTCCTTTTACTTCCACAATACTCGCACACACTTTAATTAAACCTTGTTCAGGTCTGTTCCCTAGGTAGCATCTTCGCCACCGAACGAAGCCATTAAAAGGCTGCAGAAGCACTAGATGAGATCATGCATTTCTACAAACGTGTTGATCAGACTTACATTTGCATTCGTAGTGCATAATTTAGGTTGAGGAAAAAATGTACGTGCAAATTAATGCGATGCAATTAAATTGACAACCTCAAAGGTTATCTGCATGATGTAGCCTGCAGCTTAAAAAAAAAAAAAAACCACATTAAAATGTGAAGTAGAAATTTCAATATTTTACCAAGGTGTTATACGGCTAACGCATTAACCACTTATGCTGTGTGAATATTAACACCCTCTGACCAATGAGTGAGAGAAAGCAGTCATATAAAGCATAATGTTGGGAACAACGTAACATGGAGGCGGCAAGATGACTCTATGAATTGCTATTGGTCGTTAACATTCAGGTTATTAAAAAGCAGTAATGAAAAAAGCTAATATTTAATCTGTCCACTAGATGAGTCAAACACCAGGAATGTACACGGATTGGCTACATAAAATCTCCTTGGCAGAAAGACAGATGTCTATTAAGCTTTCTGTGTGCTTTGTTACTTTAGTTAGACCTTTGATGTTTTGTTAGCATAGAGTAGCATCGGAGAATGAATTAGCCTTGAATGCGGTCTTATTTGATTATAAAAACTTGTGCAAACACACAGTAATATTGACACAGCCTTCCTTAAGTTCCTTATTTACAATTTGTCACGCCTTCCCAAATAAAACCGATTGGCCATTGCGTTACCAAAACAGTCTTTATTTAATAGTTTTTCCACTCCTTCACTTGTATGTCCCTAGTTTTATTTTAACAAATGACATCATTAGGGGCCCATTATCAATTTAAGTAATTTAGCCATCTTAGATTTACCACACCAGGTTCATGCTATTATTCTTTTAAACCATAGCGTGAATCAAGGTGCTTAAGGAAAGCTCGGATCATATTATTCATCTAATCAGTGTTTAGCTGCAAGGTCCTTTAGTACACAGTCATGAGCTCAACTTTCATTAATGAGGAGAAAGTAAGAGCAATATGAAAAAAGAAAACTGTCATTAATGGAGAGATCCCAACAACACTTGAGAAGATTTCATTAAGTTTGGCAATGAGGAGAAGACAAAAGCAGCAACCTGAAAAGAGGAGAGCTAACAGGTGGAAATGTTAATCTTTAGAAGGAACAGGCAGAAGTGTGAGAAAGTGAAGATCACGATTTAGTCATTTGGAGCACATGGCAAGAAAGGACAAGAGGGTAAAGATTCAGGAAGGTAGGACAGAAATAGGTGGTCCTCAAGTATGTAGAGGAAAATGAGATGGGAATGATGGTGGAGAGGGACAGTACAGGTGGCTAATTCTCACCTCCAAGGGGGTGGAAAGGGTGACAGTAGGGGAGCTGAGGCTACGAGGTCGTCGGACTTGGGGCTCATGGAGGTGGTTGTTGGAGGCATTGGAGGAGGAGGAAGGGGTGGATGCAGGTGCCAGAGCTGAGGCTCCTCCTGATGCTGCTGCTGCTGCTGAGGTGCTGGCGCCATCTTCAGTCAGCTGTCAGTGAGAACAGCACTTTTGAGGTTAGGTTGGGAAGAAATCAAGCATGCCATGCCGTTTGCCAAAAATAAAAAATAAAAAGAAAGTCTCTTTGAGAAGCATGCTTTTCTGCACTGGAAAGGTCTGGATGCAGGCTTTGTTTTCCTTGGGAAATAAGCCACTAAAATCTCAAAGGCAGGGGTCATTTCAGGGCCACAAACAAAACAACAATAGGATTTTATGTCCAACTAGAAAACAATGACAAAGGTTTGAAATAGTGAGATTACCACATAACTTTCACCCCTAGATGAGGTGGGAGGTACAGCCCACATTTACAGCGGGGTATAACTTCAGAGCAAACACAGAGGAATTATTTGATAGATTTGCCTCTCCTTCCGAGTACTTAAGAAAACAGATGAGGATCAGAGAATGAGGAGACTATGACATTTATAATACAGTCACAGAGTTACAGAGTTGACCATAAAAAGGCACAAATGCAAGGGTGGATTTCAAAGGAGAGCATTAAACATACACCCAGTCCCCTCTGTCTCTCTGTGAGCACTGCTTACGTGGGGCTGCCTCGCTTGCAGACAGAAAGGCAGGGTGGAAAAATGGAGTGGAAATGGGAGGAGGGAGGGAAGAGTAGTGGTTGCGGTCCCATGCCAGGGTTTAGAAACACGTGACCAATACACAGTTGAACTTCATCCTTGTGTTACACAAAATGCTAGACAAGAGAAGGAAGACGCACAGTAAAAGTTGGACAAAGTAGGAAACAAAACAACGCAGAACTTTGACATTTAAAAGCTCTCTCTCTTTTTCTTTCACTCTTGTACACAGAGAAAAGGAGAAACACAGGAGGGGGAATAGAGTGGGAAGAGATCCAACACACAGGTGAAGAATCATGGGGCCGGGTTACGGTCCAGCCAGCCCGACAGCTACACTTCAGACCTGCTGTACCTGCACAACTGGCCTAGTCCATGTAGTGGTGCGGTTGTTATGGTTGACGTAATAAGTTCTTCCCTTGGCGTCCTTCCTCTCCTCCCATCCAGGGGGCAGGCCAGGGGTGGTCAAGGTGTAAGCAGTCGACGAGGGAGACTGGCCAAGTGCAGAGAGAGAGCAAAGCAAATATGGCTAATCAGTACAGACTAGTACATTTAGACAAGTGGAGGGGCTCTAATATTTTATATTGAGGTTGCAGGGAATAGATTATTACAATCCAACTAAGTGAACTATTAACCATTTCCAGCATAAACATTACAGAGTGTCAACCAAATAATCACAGCATAATCTGGTGATGTATTACACAGACAGCATGGCTGAACACTGGCAACATTTTACGATGCAGCGTCATGGCTCGTTATCAATGACTGATCAGTGGCATTCGTTATTTACAGCTAGGCTGTCAGTTCTTGGTCAAAACACAACAAACACAGAAACACACACATATAACAGACAACTTCTGATCTAACGCTGCAGATCACAATAAGAGAATAAAGAAAAGACAGGTTTTTAAGCTATGTGCTAATCATGATGATTTATGTTTCTAATGTGTTCAAAAGTAATTGCTTTATTAAGCTGTTTGCGTCCATTATGAAGTATGTGTAGTGTGAAAGGGGCAATCTGTTTTTTGATGATTTTATAAAGTACAGATCATCATTTGGCATATGATCTGATTTTTAGGGGAATAAAATAATGTTCCTGTCAATAAATTAATAAGTAACAGTGCTGTTTAGGCTTTCCTGGTCCACAGGAACTGAAAAAAGCTGTATTATTTTCTACACTGCAAAAATAATTTAAAATGCACGCAAGCATTTCTTGTAAGTTTGTACTTCGCTGAATTTGCAAAGTGATTTCACGCTGTGAAAAATGGGATTTAAATGAATATTACTCCCTTGCATAGCTGCCAAGAAACAGCTACATGGCTTTAGTCTTGACCTAAAATGTGACTCTATTGTGATATCATTTTCTTGATTTCTAAATTGTATAACTATGGAGTGAGAGGAGTAGCATTGAATTGGTTAATGAGTTATTTAGAGAATAGGTTGCAATATGTTTATTATTTTGGCAATACTTCTGAAAGATTGAAGATTGTATGTGGTGTTCCTCAAGGTTCTATTTTGGGACCTAAACTCTTTAATTTATATATTAATGATATTTGTGACGTATCTAAAAGGTTAAATTCGATTTTATTTGCAGATGACACAAATTTTTATTGCTCTGGAGAGAATTTGAAAGACTTGGTTGAAATTATGACTTCTGAGATGTTAAGAATAAAAAAATGGTTTGATGTAAATAAATTATCTTTGAATCTGACAAAAACGAAATATATGATATTTGGCAATCGTGTAAAGGAGGATAAAGTCATTATGTTTATAGAGGAAGAATTGATTGAAAGAGTTACTGAATTTCGTTTTTTGGGTGTAATAGTGGATGAGAATTTGACATGGAAATCTCATATTGAACATATTAGAAAGAAAATGGTCAAAAGTATTTATATTTTGGGTAGTACAAGAGATTTATTAAATTATAAAACAATGCATATTTTATATTTTTCTTTGTTTTTTTCATATATCAACTATTGTGTTGAAGTTTGGGGGAATACATATGAGAATACCATAAAACCTTTAAACCTATTACAGAAGAAAGTTATACGAATAATTCATAATGTTAAATATAGAGAACATACAAATAAATTATTTATAGAATCAAAATTATTAAAATTAGGAGATTTAGTGAAATTACGGACATTATTAATTATGTTTAAGGCTAAAAATAATATTTTGCCTTTTAAGTTACAAAGAGTATTTTTGATGTGTTCAAGGGGAGAAGAGAATAGAAGGAAATTTTATTTTAAACATCAGTTAGCCAGGACTACACAAAGATTAATGAGCACAACGGTTAGGGGTATAAGACTGTGGAATTCACTTCATTATAATTTAAAGAATTGTATAAATTTACAATGTTTTAAAAAGTGTTATATGTTTAAAACGATAACTCAGTATGAAGAAGGCGAATGAATGTGATGTTGGTTTGGGATTCGACCGGAGAGAAATGTCAATATTAGTTTGTTCCTGATTTTTGGTGCCCACCGGTGATATAAGTTCGATGGTAGATAGGGGCAGGGTTTAATAAGAATATTTTCTTCTTCCTGCTCCTTTTCACACATGGTTGTTGTGTTTTGTTGACAGAAGATGTGGTTGTTTTGTTTGATTTGTAGTACCAAGTGTGAAATAAATAAAAATGAAATGAAATGAAATGAAATCACACTGCCCTGCTCAGCATATGCTCGTACAGGACTTTACTGGAAAGCAACACTGGTGTAACAATGAGGAAATCTTCCTAATGAGTAAGCTCTAACTGAGTGCAGGATTAGAAGTCATTCACAAAACTAGTCGGGTGACAGTCCCATCCTACATAGTGCTGTGCATAAACTGAGATATTACCATAGGCTCCTCACCACCTGAGACTGTTTGAGCTCTCGTTCTTCTGGACTGGGAACTCTGCTGGTGGTAGACAACATGGAAGAGGGTCTTTAGTTCACAATAGGTTATGTTTTAAGGGTGTAAGTTAAGAGCCAAGTGTGGGCACAAGCGAAGGCTGAAAGAGGAAAACTGAGTGGACAAAAGGGGGGAAAATTCATTCTCAGAGGAGGTGAGGAGTGGCAGAAAGACGAGAGAATCTTTTGGTTATGGGCCTAAGAGCGCAGTGACTGAACAGCAAGGACACAGGACACAGAGTGAAGCAAACGGCTGCTGTGATTGGCAAGAGGGGGACAAAAAGAAGTATCATCCCTGTGCAATCAATAACCTTTGGAAAACAGATTTTCCCCCCTCCATTCAATGTGCAGCATCTTTAATTTCAACCAGAAACAGGTGCGTCCTGAAAATGTGCAAGCAGGTAAGTGATTTACAGTGCTGAAGGTGGAAAAAGGAACCAGCCTTAACAAAACAATCAAATTTTGAAGGAAAAAAATGAAAGAAAATGTATTTTCTTTCATGTACACGTTTTGTTTCTCCGTTTTAAACGCAGATATGCAACTAGGTGTTGTTCTGCTTACACAGAAGTACATAAACAATATCAGTCCTCCAACAGCAGCCTTTTATAAAGCAATTTAATAGCTACTACTGCCAAAACAAATAGAAAACTAAAATATGGGAACAATTTTAAATCTGTACCGTCAAATTAAAGCTACCTCATATCCTCCTATTAAGTTAATGACGTATTTTAAAGTATATTACAGTCAAATTGACAAAAGAAAAAGATAATGAAATAGAGGGGGGGGGGGGATTTCCTGTGGTTGCTCACTACGCCCACAGGAAAACATTAATCCTTGTATAGACCTCAAACAAATGCTCCCCCCCCTCTAATGGTTTCTAAACAGTCGTCCAGTTCTGAGAAACGTATCATAGAAGGGAAAGAAAGACACGAGCACCTGTACTGTCACTTCTTCTTAACAATGCTAAAGCTCACTGCTGTGTCGCAGCTGTGTGACTGACAAACATCTGACTCAGATCTTGTGACAGTTTGTTAAGCTGAATCCCAGCTGACGCCATGACTCAGGACTCCAGGGGAACCTTGGTGCACTTCTTAATCTTACTTTTTTGTCTCAGAGTTTTTAAGTGGAATCATGATTCTGGTGAGACGTAACAAATCAAACACAGTGGAATGTGAATCACAAAGAGTAGTGATGAGAGACGAAGAGGTGTGGTAACCCTAGAGAGACAAAAAGTAAAGTAAGTAGAATAAGTGGTACAGTTGAAGCAGGGAAGAAACAAAGGGTGAGGTGGGTAGTAGCATCTGCTGGAGGTTGAAATGCAAGAGGAGCAAGAAAGGTGATTTAGCATGTGGTAAACTAACAGGACAGACACATCCACGAGGAGGAGGTAAATGAGACATTAGCAACCTGCTTAGACAACACAGAAAGAGAAGGAAAGTAGAAAAAGCTGGAGGAAGGGTTTGTGGCTTTAGAAATATGTACCGTAAGAGGAGGAGCCTGGACCTGATCACTGACGCCATCCGTCATACTTGAGGAACGGAGTCTGTTTGACAGCTGGCTCTGTTCAAAGGAAGCAAAGAGAGAATAAACGCCGCTGCCAGCGCTGCCTCTTGTTTGGCTGCCTACATTTACACCAGGTCCAGGTTTTTGACAATGGAAAATTAACGGTTCTCCAGTCTCACCAAAGCAGAGCTGGGCCCTGGCACTTCGCCGTTTGTATCGGGAGTCAGCGACAGCCTCAGATTTAAGTCTTCTGAGAACTCCTGGGTGATGGGTGTTGGTGTGTGCTGTGGTGTCAAAACGGAGGAGGGACCGGGCAGAGATTGAGCCAAGCTGTCGTTATCCTCTTCTGTGATGAGCTCCCAAGACTACCGGCACAACAAAGAGACAAAATCTTGATGTAACACAGATCTTTTGGAAATTTTACCACTGTAGATGAGTTTAAGTGTGCGTGAGTGGACTGCTCTTCTTTCTCACATTATCCAAGTCCCTGGGCTCCAGGTGCTCGTTCTCCAGGTCTTCACTGATGTGGCGCCTTGATCGGAAAACGCGGTGGGCTTCCTGATGGATTTGCCGCTGTTGATTGTCACTCTCAATCTCTGAAATCACGTCTCTGAGAGAGATTTGGTGAGAAAATATGAATGGAAACCAAAAGTTAATAATCATGAATTAATTCTCCTGTGCAGGATTATTTAGTAACAAGAGCCAAACACTGTTATATTTAGTTATTTCAACAACAATTTACAGTCTATCAGGTGTGCTCAGAATAATGATGATATAAAATATGTCCATCATGTTTTGTCAACCGCGTATACTTTGTTGAAGGATTACTTTGACGAGCGATATGCTCTTTCATTTTACTGCTAAGAGCTACCTCAGAAGGTTAAAAGCATTTCTTCTATCTGTCTCCTAAATATAAAGCTAAGTCAGAAGGCTAGCCAAGGACAAACACATTAGATTACTGACATTCAGTCCATTCTTCTGTCTTCAGTTTTGTGCAAAGCTAAGCTAAGGGGCTTGTTTTTACCCTGTGTGCACTTATTTAGTTTTTAGCAGAAAAAGTGATAAAGCTCAAAAATTGAACTTTTTAAAAATATTGTAATTCATTTTTTCTTTTTAATATATCTATATAATTAATAATAATAATTTCCCAATTAAGTGGAGACATGGAATATGGCATTATTGTGTGTATAGAGAGGGAATTTGTGTATATTTTAAAATGTCCAATTATAAATTTTTAAAGGAGTGTAACGTCTACAAATAGGAATAACTGTGGCCGACGCCAGTTGTTTTGATGTTAAAAAAAACAACAAAACAAAAACATCTTAAATAATATTTTTGAAGAGTATTTCCTCACTAAGCTTGCAGTACATGGGCAAAAATCCTCAGACTTTAACACTGTGATTTTTTTCATGTATAAAAACCAACAGTGACATGTGAAAAGTTCGAGGCTGTATTAGTGCGAGATCAGGCGTACACGTTGGAAGGCCGTTTCCACTGTGTAGTGCGGTTGTTGTGGTTTACGTAGTAGGTGCGTCCCAGGTTGTCCACTTTTTCCTCCCAGCCTTGAGGCAAAGGAGGCAGCAGCTGCTGGGGTCGCTGGGAGCCTGAGTCAGCAGACTCATCCCAACCCTGAAAGACAGTATGGTTGAAGGGTAGTATGGTAGGTTTAAGCCAAAGATCAGAAAGAAGTACATTAAAGATTTAGCTGGTTATATTTTTCTGCTGTTTTTTTTGTTTTCATGTTTTACTAAACATTTACTTAATGCCTGTGTTTCATAGCTGCCAGCAGGCAGGTGTATCTATGCCTACAATCCAAGACGGAGCTGATGTTTAAGCAACAATCTCACTCGTAGTGTTGGCAATTTTACGCTTAATTTAATACGTAGGCAGAAAAAAGAGCTACTACAAAGGAGAAAATAAGCATTAGTAATGAGGCTTTAATACAATGAAAAAGAAAAAAGAAATACAGACAGTCGGGGGGGGAAGGGAAATTTTTTGCAGTATGAACACGAGGGGTGCCATTTAAGCTTTCACGCTTTGGCTGCTAAATGTCATCTTATCTGTGAAGCCTTTCGCTCTCTAGCTCTCTTCCACACATCCAAGAACACATATTAAAGTAGGAAAAGCTCAATTTTCTCCAAATAACAGGCCACATTGTAAATGTTTTTTCCAGACCCTGACCTGGAAAAGACTTTTACCAGATGCTGGCAGTGAGCGGCTTCCCAAATTCTCAGAGAAATAATAAAAGAAAAAAGAAAGATGCTCTCACATTACTTTTGGTTCACAGTGGGACATTCACTTTCAAGCTTAGAACTATGTTGCCTTCATGTGGCAGAAAGGAATAACAGTAGAATCTGGTTTGCTTTTATTGTGGAAAAAACAGTCCAAAGAATGTCTTAGGTAATGCAAAGTCAGCAGTTTATACTAACAACAGAGGATTAGACCTTACCTCAGCCTCCTCCCTCATGTCTCCCCCCTCCTCCTCATGACCTCCTTGTTTGGGCAGATAGGCCATCTTCAGACGCAGGTAACCCTTCACCCTGGACTTGTGACTGAAAGGAAAACATCTGCTTTAAATACTTCCTGCTCATTAGTCCTAGTTGGAATTCCAAGTTCAGTATTTAGCTGACAGCCGCATGAAGTTATCGTTGTCTAGACTCCAATATGGCCAGAGTCTAGACAGTGTTGTGAACCAAGATCTAACTTTAATAATGTGTCACTGTCTACTCCACTTGCTAACAGGGGGCAAACTAGACAGACACAAAAAAGCAGCTACTATTTGCCATCTACGTTTTCTCATTTTATATCAAACAAAGCCAAAACTGACCTTCTTGGCCGCAACAGGAAGTCTTTAAACGTGTAGGGCCGCTCCATGGCAGGATCCTCTGTCTGCAAATAGAGGAGGTTTTTGCTGACGGCATTTAAGTGAACACAAGCAAATACACATGTTGCGATATCAGAATATCACAGTCGCCAGCTTTCAACAGAGGGTACAACCCTCTGCACAGACATCCCAGGATCATTATGCAATCCTGAGCTTCTCCTGTTACATATTGAGCAGCCTTTTGTAATTCACAGCAATCTCACACCGCTCTCTGACAGGGCCAAACCAGTCCGTGCTGGCTGCTCATCGCATAATGCCCTGTGAGATACCGCTGAGGCCAAAAGTCAGTTTTCATATTTAAAAGAAAATGCTGGAAAGTTTTGTAAAAGGAAAAAGAACATGTGTGAAAAGTACCAGTGTCAAGTTTCCAAATAATGGACCTCAATTACAGTCAAAACACTGGTCTCAAAATATTAGGTGGGGCTCCTCAAAGCAGGAATATGAAATAGATTGGAACAAAATTCCAAGTCAAAATATTAGGGGCAGTATTAACATAAAATAATATCTAATATTAATTTTATCAATCAAGCTCCCATTTAGGATGTTTTCCTTGTGGACTAAAGCAAGTTCTGCAGACACTTTTCAGTCCATGGAGCTCCACTCTGTCCTCCTCCAATCTGAAGAGGTTAAAGTCACAGGGAGGCAACTCTGATGAGTCAGGTGAGTAGCGAATAAGATGGTGCACAGTTCAAGTTGTTTATAATGACTGGTCACCCATAGTTTGAGGTCATTATGGACTCATAGACCTAAATCTGGCCTCAGTGGAGCAAACTGTGAATGTGGCAAAAACGACCAACGAGCTCACTACCTAAGCTGCTGTCCTAACCTTGAACATCAACACCCTTTCAATGAAAACACTGTTCGGTCTCCAAGTTGAGAATCTCCAGAGATTAGTTCTCATCAGCCTGATGATAATCCTTACTACAAACGTCAGCTCAGTTTGAGACAGAAATGCACAGTAGTATGGATGTCCTGGCAGTTTCACGGTCCCATCTAAAATTAGCAGCAGCACTGCAAGAAGTCCAGAGGTGCAAAAGCAGATGACTTTAAAGGGGAAATTCCAATCATACATGGTTTTTGATTTGCTAAACTTTCAGACCTCACGTGCTTTTATTTATCTGGTCTCACCACATACAACACAGAGCCCGGTAAAAAGAGGTAGTTGAGTGTGGAGCCTGCTTAAATACAGACGACCAAGAAAAAGAGGAATGGCGTTGTCCTGTTATTTGCTAAGAGGAGGTCACGGTTCCATAAGGAAAATGTAGCTACCAGATGGACTCTGATGAGTCAGTATTCATGTCCTGTTTCATGAAAAGTAAAAGGACATTTACAAGAAGCTATTACGGAGAAAGGAAACATGACTAAGTTATGCCCAGTAACTATTAATTAAAAACAAGCCTTGGTTTGTTTTGTTTTTTTAGCATAAGTCACATCAGGACTAAATATTATCCATGTTGTCCCAAGGCTTCAACTCTCAACGTGACTCAGCTGTAAGCTTTTATCTGCTAATAATTTCCTGGGCCTGTGGGACCCAAATAGGGCATTAATAATTAACCCCAAAAACTTTTACTGATAGGCTTTTAAGGTCGACAACTAAGACAGAACTTTAGGGAGCCACAACCAAGCTGGCAGCAAAGCTCCCAAATGTGCAGAGGTGCTGCTGCTTCAGGAGGATTTGTAGGTCTCTTAAGCCTTTTGCACATAAGAGCTCTACTCAGTTTTGCCATTTTCACAAGAAGCAACTTCAAACGTGTTCTCTGTGCAGAGTATGCAGAGGACAGAAGGACATCAGACGCGAGACAACTACCTGGTTTACTCTTGCATCACACCGACTTACTACTTAAGAAGGTTTTAAAAACAACAACAACCAAAAAAAAAAAAACATTTCTTGTCCAGTCCAGCTGAACAGTTGCAGGTGTGAGAATGGCTTGTGCTTGCATCAGACCTCAACTGTAAAAATTCCCAAGCACCCTGATTCTGCAGGTCGATGTTGTGTGTTTACATGCTAGACAGCCCGCTTTCCCTTTCTAATACAGAGAGCGCTGTTTAATCACAACAGAAGCATTACCTGTGACTAGCACGTTCTCACACTCAAGATGGGAAAACACAAACAAACTCCCTCCCTGACCTTCACAGAGGTTAATCAGGAACAGCAAAATTGTAGATAAGAAACAGCTGAGCATTCAAAACAGTGCTAAACCAGCCAGAGTGTCCACACGCACTCAAGCTTTACACACATACAGACGTAAATAAATGACAGCAGAGATGTAAATAACTTACTGGCAGATGACTGAGAGGAACATCAACTTGCCCCAGGAAATCATCTCTAGTCTAGAGGGAAAGAAAAAGGTCACATTTAGAAGCTGAAATTCAAAAAGAATGACTTTTTGTTTTTGTTTGAGTGTGTCTGTGAAAAGCCCGAAGTATCATTAGGGATAATGAAGGGAAAACCACAATGTTGAGGTAAAAATCACCAGATTATCCAGCAGCATTTTGTATGTATTAAAGACAGGTGGAAAGAAAGGCAAAAAGAAGTTCATTTCATGGACAGCCCCATCCAGAAATACAGTGACCTCCAGCCTAATTTGTGAACACATGTGGAAACCTGAGAATCTAAAGTTTAAAGGCAGTAAAGAAAAACTGTTCAAGTATTTCCACGCGGTCTTACTGAAAACAATTGCACTTGATTAGTTATGATTTAAGATCAGCTTCTCTATCAATCAGGACAGATTTCCACATGTGTCCAGACAGAAGGTTCAGAGCGAGATTTATTTATGGACAGGCCTTTTGCAACACTTTATGGGAGAAAAACCTGCGATCCCAGCAAGGAAAAAAACATCTACAGCCACCAGATAAAAGCCAAATCAGCTGGACAGAGGGAGAGAAGGGCAGATGTGACCACAAGGAAAAATTTAAAACAGGGAAGGTTTGTGTCTGAAATTTAAGAGGCCCATAGATTTGTCCGTTACAGAGTATGGATTACCTGTCCGAGATGGAAAAGCCCATTCTTGGAAGTAGCCTGTGTGTAGGACACAACTGATTTAGACAACAGGCATAAACTAACTGATTGACACACAAGCTGGGTTGAATGATGCAGTGACAGATTTACGCAAAGACAACTACAGTAGTGCAACAAAAAAAACCTACTGACTGTCAATTATACGCTCTCCCACTCACCACAATTACAAAAATGTAATTAAAAAAACCTTCAGTCTGTTTTCTACTTTAAAGACTGATTATTGTTAATGTACAACAGAGGACATTTTCAACATTGTTTCCACAACTTTCACACGTGCCACAAATTCCAGGTAAATTAAGTGTGGGGAACACTGTATATATGCTTATTCTGACAGTAAAATGTGATATTTATGGCTACTTAACTTGAAATCAGCAAAAAAAAAAAGTTTTCAGAAGGAATAAAAATCAAAAACTGACTTAGTTCTGAAAACAGTATTATACCTCTGGATGAAGAATAAGAACAAGCAGAATTTAAGTCTCTACAGAATAGACTGCATGGCCTGGAAAGGATTTTTTCACACTGATTTGAGGTTAAGGTGTTTAAAGATTTAAAACAAAAAACAAACCAAAACACCAGCTTATTCTGATAAACAAAAGAAAAAAGAGCTGTGGAGTGACTGCACTGGGCTCCCACCACAGTTAACCGAGCTGGAATTCAGTAGTGAAAAGGTTACAAATGAGTCACATAAAAATGATGACTGATTAACGCACAGGCATGTAAGCGCACACACACACACGAACGTATGTGAAGTCACTCATCCTCGCACGTCCACCCACCTCCACTGAATAACACACTGTAGCCCTTCTTGGAAAACAGGAGTCACTACTGTGCAAATTACCGCAATGCATGCTTTCAATTTCTAAACCAACCAAACTAAACGATTCACTTACTGTTAACATAACTCATTTAAAGCAGTCCGACATAAGATTCCTCCAAGTTTGAGAGAGCATCAAAAGCAAACTTGACCACAGCATAACCACAACTCTTTTACCACATGATCACATAAACAGCAGTAGCACTGTCACTTCCAGTGTATGATATAAGCAATTGCAATGATATTATCACATGGAAAACAACACCTTCTGCAGGCAAACCTGTTTTGTTGTTGTTTTTTTAAATGTCACTAACCAAAACAAGCATTTCAGCTCTGACCTTATATACGGAGTTGGATTTAATTACAGAGTCATTAAGAGGTCAGATTTGAGTCTGCAACTGCCTCCCAGGACCAGGTTACACTCTGAGAGTGCGACCAAAGACGAACAGAAGGAAGTACGGGTGGACAAAGAGGGGTGGCTTGAGGTATGAGAAAAAAAAAAAAAAAAAGGGGAAAAAAAAAGAGGAAGCTAGCCCAAAAAAGTTTGAAAACTGAACACGAGTAGGTCACCGAAACAATTGCTTTTCACACGCTTCTAATTTTACTCTGGCAAGTTTGGATGAGAATATAACCATTTCAGAGATTTGTGCTGAAATACCACTGCAACATCTGTGGATTACAAATGATTTTGTGGTTCTCACAGCACCAAAAAAATGATAAAATGAAATAAAATTTAAAAAAAAATAAAACCCTAAATGTCGCCTGCAGCAACATCTCTCTCTGACCCTGTAATTAAATCCAACAAGCAAAAGCACCCAGACAGCGGCTTTCATGGCCAATGTTTATAGGATATTTTGCTCTTCACTTCAATTCACATGTAATGAACGAGTAAAAACCTAATCTATTGTCATTCCTAAACACACTCCAATCTTTCAAGACTATAGGAAAGCAGCTAAAGTGCTAAGAACTGGAAATGCTATGAAGCTACAGGAAGATGATGACAAGATGGTGACAGGGTGTTTACAACAAAGGGCAATCTGGAGCAAGTCCAGGCTGGCACTGAGGTTTAAAAAGGCTGTCTCACCTTCTCAACAGTCTCCCTGCTGACACAACTGTATTACAATACCATGCAATTCAGAGAAGTCCACGCTGTCAGAGAAAAGCCCTTCGCAACACAAGTGATTTGAATGCCTCTTACATGCTATCGGACCAAAATAAAAAGTGTGCCCTCACCCCACTCGTCCACAATCTTGCCTCAGGTAAATATAGCCAGCCTACTGGCCTCCAGGAGCTCTCAATGAATGGAAACCGAGGGGTACTAAGGCAGGGCTGTAACGAGGGCATGGCACGGAGGCATAGCCATTTGCAGCTAGTCCATCTGGTGTGCGCACACACAAACACACACACACACACGTCATCCCAAGCCCAGTTTTAAAAAGGGGCAATCCAACTCCAGGCAATCAGTTGGGGAAGACCTGTCATTATGGTCTAATTGGGGACTTCCTCGTTGCTTGAGAAACAGGATGCCATGGAGTCTCACATCACTACCATGAGGGGCGAAGGAAGAGGTTAATTTTTCCCACTAGATCTGAAAACGTTTTCTTTCTTTTTTTTTTTTATCCAAACCTAGATTGTCTATATCAACACCACCCTTGCCCTTTTCATCATCACCTTTGCTACTGCATCTTGGCATCTCCTTTTTCATCACCTGAATAATGCGAAGTCACTGGCAGGACTGTGCATCACAGTATCTGCCTGGATGCAGACTAAGCTCAGTCAAACTGAGTGGGAAGAGATATTCTTTAGCCGACTGGTCACAACTTCTACACATACAAGCAAGCAGAAACCGATGAGGTGCAATAAACTCAAGCTGATGATTAAATGCAAAAAACTGCAGTTCCTGGAGTGGCCACTTGAGGCTAGCTCCAAAAGGAAAAAAAAAAAGCATGTTTCTACTTTTACAAATAACCAATCTGGTTTGTGGCAGGGGAATCTTTGGGGTTTTGGGGGGGGTTGACTCAGATGAATGAAATCAGTGGTTTGGTCAGATGAACTAAAACATGATATGAGCAAATAGCTTCCTGTTTAGGCGGTCCTTCCTGGAGCTAAACATCTCATGATAAACCTACATCCTGCTGGTGTAAACCTCAAACAGTCAATGACGGCCCTATCATTTAATTTCAAAATCGACTATATTTAATTTTAGGCTAAAAATTGAGTTTACAACTCCAAAGTGCCATTTAAAAAATAGCTTAAAAGAAACATCTAAAACGTTCTACATCAAAAGTATTTAAAAGTTTAATAAATAAACAGCAATTTGGGTAACTCGATACACTGATTATAGCATTCTAGCACCAGAGTTGGACATATGCATAAGACTGGAGAGCAACACCAAAAGATTTCAGGCTTTGAGGAAACCGACCCTGCTTGTGAAACTTTTTGATCATTGTTTGGGCTGCACTGACATGTTAGTTCTTAATCGCCTGCTGAGCAGCTGCAACGATTCACATCCATACCAGCCAAGAACTGGAGAAGACATGCCGCTTGCCTGCTTTCAAAACCAACAAACACGCTCGAGGTAAACTAAAAATAGACACAGCCAGCACTTAAAGAGTGCTGACTGCACTTAAGGGTATTATCAAAAACCCCAGTGTCGCATTTCTGTGAAACGGAAGGCAACAAGTGCATGGGAACAAATTATCCATTCATCCATTTCTTGCACAACTAAACTGGCTGACGTGTGTGAGATTTTAAGTCGTTCTGGTTATGAGTGAAAAAAAAGCAGCATGTGTGATTTAGATCAGCAAGGTTGTCTGGGATTTTTAGGTCCAGGAAAGTCACCACCCTGTATCAGCACCACACGGATCTCTCCCTGTCTAGCCTATATTCTTAGTGTTAAATAGTACTTAAGCAACCACTGCAAATTAGATGTGTTAGACTGGCTTTTTCATTTGTTATGTCCATGACAGTGCTGGACCTCACCCTTTTGGCTACAAGAGGAACAAGCCAAGTCATATTAAACTAAATGTCACATGCCACCCACTATTTTTGGATTTGTTTACTATTCATTCTAATATCAGTTTCTCTAGGAACATTAGAACAAGTCTATAAATGTTACATAACGCTTTTGTAATTCAACAATTTTTCACCAAACATTTCAGAGGCAGAGTATGCTTCTACTAAACTTTTCCACACTCTTTACCTTGGAATTACTTGTCGTTGCTTCATTGCCAAAGCTCACATCCTGATTTCCACCTCCACCCGGGGTAAAATATATCTTCAAATGTGGCTGCCTTCTGGGATTTTCCCCACTAAAGTTTAAAGTACAACCATCAGGTCTGTTTCTTGCTTCTGTCTCCACATCTGTTTCATTCTCGTCTATAGTCTGACTGTCTGCACCACTTTTCTGATTATTATTTTCCACCAGCAGCCTCTGATGAGACGAGCTTCTATGTAATCGAATTCTAGGGTAGCGCACCCTATGGCAACCTCTTGAGCTGTTGGGTCCAGCATCTGTGCATTGTTCTTGTGATGGATCATCCGGTTGTCTGCCCTGCTTCTGATCCTGGCTCTGATTTTGCTGGAGCTGAAACACTAGCCTCTGCTTTGTGCCATTAACACCAGAGGACTGGTCCAGGCTTTGCTGCTGGACAGACCAGCCGGTACCGCCATAGGGAAGGATTCTGAAATGCTGGACATCAGAGCCGTCAGGAGAATTCCTCTGGATGTAGATGGCACCAACACTGATGCCAGGCTGGCGTCTGTTATACGTACAATGACTGCTGGAACCAATACTAAAGACCCTGCGCTTGGGAAGGTTTGGCTCCGCCAGAGAAGATTGCACACTTAAAGAATCAGGGCTGTAGTATGGAGGAGGGGACTGCCGCGGAAAGTTAGCTTGACTCTGTGGTTCGGTATAGGCAGGCGCAGGTCCTGGAGGAGTATAACAGGGTGGTGGGACATCATCAGCATGACCACTGGAATCTCCATTACTGGATCCATTGGAGCGCTGAAGGGAGATGTGCATGGATGAGCTCCTAGTAGGACGTGGCTCAGTGTAGGCGGCAAGCTGGGGTATGAACATGGAGGAGCTGCGTTTAAGCGAAGGCTCAGAGTGGAAACCAAAAGCCGCCGACGGGACGTGCTCCGTAGCAGAGTCCTGGGAAGGCCTCGATGCTGGACGTGGCTGCACGAGGTGTGCCGTGACCCTATCGTCGTCTCGCTGCTGCACCTCAAAGTCTCCTTCCAGTATGTCCGGGGCTGTGTTACTGTGTCCTGAGCCAAAGTACAAACGCAGACGCTGTGCCATTTTCACCCCACGTCCAAATCTCCCGTTGCCTCTCACTTTCTTACTGAGTGGCTGCTGGTTCTCTCCTCTGGCTCTTGCCTCAGTATCCTAACTGTTGCCCACTTCTCCTTTGGCTAGACAACTGATCCTCTTTTCTTCCATTCCCCCCTCCCCTCTCCCAGCCTCTTCCGCAACTTTCCTTCCCACACCAAGCTGAACTGAGAAAAGAAGTACTCACACCACAAAAGCAAAACAGCCACTGCAAAATAGCTGACAACTTTACACAACGCACTCAAAGGAGAGGGAGAGTGAGGGCTGATGGCTACGAGGAGGAGGGTGGGGGGGTGGGGTGGTGTTTTTTAAAAAAAAAAGAAAAAAAAAAAGGAGAAAAAAAAAAAGAAAAAAGGAGGAGGATCCCTGTATACCAGTCTCTTAGCACCATCAAGCACTAGCGACAGACGGCAGAAATAGCCTGAGCCAAGTGACAGCCAGCATTCCCGACATGATTGGATATGAGTGGCCGGCACTCCTGGTTTCCGAGGTGACAGTGGATTGCCTGGCAGTCACGTGACTACAAATGGCCCTGCCATCTCCTGTTACGACCCCATACTGCCCTCACGTAGCAAATGACCCCCCCCCAACGACCCCACCTACATCCTGCTTGTTTACTCCTATCCATCCTCCGCTCTATTAACATGAACTTTTTCTAACCCCGCCAATTCCCCTGCCTCCACATCTCATTAATGTCCTTTCATCTGGCTTCATGAGTTTTTAAACTATTTTCTTCATAATTTAAACATCATCTGGAATTTGATTTAATTTGCTAAAATTGATATCTCAGTAAGAGTAGCTCAGTTTCCCCAGAGTAGCACTCAAATATCAAAACACCACTCACCAAGAGTACACCTGTTAAATTAAATCGTAACTCATTCCTTTTTCAATATTGTGGCTTGTATTATTTAACAAAAGAAGTTCCCAACGTATTCATCTTAAATACAAGTCATTTCGTCTTTTGACTGTGGATTTCTTTGAATGTAAAAATAAGTTAATAGAAACTTAACTAGAGTGACAAATGGCTGAACTACTGCATGCTCACCTACAGAAACGTTCGTCTATCGTTGACTAAACACTCTTTTTGGATCAAACTGAACTAAATGGCGAGCAGCTTTGGATTTTTAGGGAGGGGTGAAAGTTCAGCAATGTGATCAAAATGGGAAAGCTGGATAAAATTAGAGCATTATTACGAAAAAAGAGTGCAGCAATGTTGGCAATGCCAGTCAGCTGTTTATTTGCTCCCACTCAACTCCTTCGGCATTGAACGGTTCCAATCATTCAGTGCTGCCTGCAATCAGCCTGTTCTGGAAAAGACATGCTGTGAACTGAAGGAGCAGAAAGAAATGGAAGGGAAAAGGAAAGCATCAATAACTTCTAGATTCTAGATTCACAGCAAGGTTACTTGTTAATTGATCACCAATTGCCATTTGGTGCCAATCATGTCAAAAATTCAACACCAAGTCTGGAGCATATAATTTATCCTGTAATGTCTTGCAGCTTGGAAACAGAAAAAAAGAAGCATAAGGAAGTTGGTGCTAAAAATGGATCAAGAAAAAAAAAGTGAGATTGAGAGTAAAGAGCAGAGTATCTGACAGATCACAGAACAGCATGGTCCTCACTCGGAAAAGGCATGTCTACTTGAAACAGAATAAACATGCAATGCCTGCCATACACAGCCAAACATTTGACGCTGCTTTTATAGGTCATTCCTTTTGCATCCAAAAGCAGTCCGAGACACAACTTGGCTGTGATCCTAGCCTGTAATGCTGAATGAAATCATGCACAAATTCTAATGCCTAACTCCAAGTTACAACACAGAAAAAGACGCTTTGTTTGCAACATACTGTACATTAATGTAAAAAAGCTCCTACAATTTGATTCACCACAGAATCATCATGTGAAAAAGTGGGAGTTCGACTACTTTGCCCTGAAGCCAGAGTTAGTGGGGGAGTCATCCGCCTCCGTGCACAGAACTGACAAAGCCCCTATCACAACTTGCCATTTCAGAGCTACACGCTTGAAAAGTAACTGCCTTGTTTTAACCGCTTGGACTGGTTCAACCTATGGCTTAGACCACAGTGCGTCACCTTATCTTTTTCAAAAAACAAGTTGCAACCAGCAGCCTGTAGTATTTCAAACGAATGAAAAAAAGAAATAAATATCAAAGGTCTGCATTGTGGACAAGAGGGCATCAAGAAACAATACTGACTGGACAAAGAAGCCAAAAGAAAGACACTGTAATACAGGAAGACTCACGGCTTGGCAGCCAGTTACACTTAGTGATGACACACTGCCTGCAGTGTTAGGCACAGTCAATAAATGTGTGTCTGTGTGAGAAATGTTATGGGGAATGTTCTGTATAAAAGAAACAAAATGCCAATGTGTGGTCCAATGGCAGCGAGCCCAGCTTGCCAAATGACATAACATGCCTGCTTCAAACTGCACTGTGCTGTAGGTCTATTCAGCCGCTTCTTCAAATTCAACCATCAGTGTCATACATAGTTCTCTTATATTTGTACTATGCTCCAGTACAAAACGAAATGCTGACCAGTGGTGGGGGAGCTGCCTTGGCATGCACCAAGAGAAAGACAAAAAGCACCTCTTCGGACATATAAGGAGAGGACCGTGCTTGAGGCTGCCTGTGCTGTGCTCTCGTCTCATCCTCTTATACAGAAAGTGTTCACTGTACTGAAGGAAAATTAGAGCTGCACTTTTTAGAAGGGACGGAGTGCAAATGAGCAAGTTAGACATGTGTTACATGCTTAGATCAATGAAATAGTCATGTCTTTATATGGTTCACCTAGAAATAAAACTAGAGATCGTGTTGTTACAAAAAGACACTCCCCAAACAAATCCCAAATGTTTTAACCTCCCACGATGGTCCTCAGCAACAGCCCTGAATCTGAGAGGCCCCGACAGAATGTGCCTTATCCAGCCAAGATCACCAAAACTATGTTGGGCTGCATCCGCTGTTTGTTTTATACAACATCAAACCCAGGACCCAGAGTTACTGAGAAGACATAGGAAACAAATAACACTGCTAGCAGAGCCTTTTGCTTATTCTACAGAACAATGACTCCACAGTGTCAGCAACCACTTCTCTTATGCACGCCTTCTCTGAAGATACTCCAACCAAGGTGACGTTTAGAGCCAAGAGTGAATTAGTAAATTGATTACAAGACCTATTTGTGATGGTTTTACTCACTGCAAGAATTGACAATGTGCAGACATTTAATTTAGTTGTCAAGGCAACTGAGGGCCTAAAAGGGGTTTTAATTTCACAAGTCAAGGAAACCAGTGTTCTCGTCTGTGGGGGAAATCTGAGAAATTTGACATAAGAGGAATGTAGGAGCTGTTAGTGGATTACAGTCTGAAAGCAGAGTACCGAAACTAGCAGTCAAACAAACTGTACGCTGTTTATAATCTACAAAGCCTAAAGCTGAAATCATGTCATGTTAAACTGGGAAAATGGTTCACATCTCGAAAACTGTTAACACACGAGGGAGGGCAGACAAAGTCAATAAAACGTCTTCTAAGTTATTGAAAATCTCTGCGGTATAACGAAAGCAGAACTGGTTGAGACAAATTTAGCAATATCAGTTTTACAGTCATTATGTTTTATTGGCGTAACTGAGACTAGAGAACAAAATAAAGTGCTACTGGAAAGCAAATTATCACCATAGGACATTAAATGAAAGACAATATATTGTGCAAATATTTCCAAGGAGAACAGATTGCACGAAGCAGATTAAACGACACGAGACAACTAAATAAATCTACAAAAGTGGAAATCTTACCAATCTGTTTTCATCGAACACCTCAAAGAGTAGCCTATGATTCTGTGGACACACCTGTGGGAGCAACAAAATAAGGAAGATGTTAGAGACGTTGCTTGCCGTTTATGTCAAAGTGTATGTGCATTTGCGGGTAACTGGCTGCTTGCTTTTTGTTTTGTAATCATTTAAAACTGTGCAGAGTCTTAGAAGGCAGTCAGCTGTCTAATTATCGAAACAGAAGCCTAAGCTGTACTCATTTTACTATAATACACAAAATCTGTTTCCTTGCAAACAATTCCTACACTATCAGGAGTTGAGCAATCAAAGTTGACACAAAGGTACAGCTTATACTCTTAAAAGGCTGTTATCCATATTGCACATTATGACATCATTATGCAACTTAACTACCTAACAACAGGAAATGACCAATTTGTATCATTTATTCACCCATGAAATCTTATAAACTATTCTATCGTTTTAATTTCACAAAATGTTATTGATTTAAAAAAACTTGAATTATAGATGCCTATCAACACCACCTAACAAACTGAACTGAACTAAACACCCTCAGTCTAGAGTTATCATGTCACTATACTTATAACGTCCTGTTTGATTACAGGGGTTGAAGACGTGGGTTTCATCGCCATGTTAAACTGCAACCAAAGATTCACAGCTATACAACTCCTGCTCCAAAGTAGAGCAATAACAGACCGTCAAAGCAAAAATAAATAAAAATAATAATCATCATTCACGAAAGCATTTCAAAATCTGAACTCACTCTAAAGTAGAATTCTTCGTTCCATTTTGGGTTGAGGGTCTGAAACACAGTGTACAGAAGCCACAATGAATAACTGCATTAAAACACAATAAACAGCATCATTAGTTTACACAGAAAAGAGAACAGACGTATGAAAAGCATCCCACTCAGAGTGAGAGAAGAGAGGCCACGTGCAAAATTTGGCTCTATCTGGCATGCCAATGATCCTCTCTTATATTGTTAGAGGAGGTTTGTAGCAAACTTGCTCCTGTGATAAGAATAAGCCTTCAGATTAACAGGCGTGAGGATTTTCACCCACTTTCTGGATGCATCAGCTCAGCAGTTACACCCCCCTCCAATCCACTCTCCTTCTGCCTCACACATTTGATGTTTTTATTAGACTGGGAACTAAGTGACAGTTCTCATTAAAATTCCTTTGGTGACTCAAATGACTTAAACACTCAAATGTCAATGAAACCTGAATTTCACAAGTTACACTGAATAATAAACATTAAATGTTTTACAGCAGCGATAAAATAACATCTGTACTAAAACTACTGAGATACCACAATTACAAATTAACTCGCTGTACTTGGATGAA